TCCCTCTCTCCCCAGCCACAGCAGCCACAGAGCTGAGACTGGGAAGGAGGGCTGTCTCTCCCCAGCAGCCGCAGCCCTGGAGCTGGCTTTCTCTGGCCACCACAGCCCTGCATATTCCAAATTCCCACCAGTGGCATAGCCAGGATCCAAGAGCAGGGGGAGCAAACATAAAAAAGGCGCCTCCCTTTGGCTCTTCCTCTGGCCACGCCCCCCTTGGCTCCTTCTCCTGCTGCTCCGCGCCCCCCCTTGGCTGGCTCCTCCGGCTGTGCCGCCCCCGCCATTGGCTGCGGGCCGCCATGCTGCGCCCCCCCTTGCTCCTCCGGCCACGGCTGCCGGCCGCGCTACGAGCCGCCCTGCTGCGCCCCCCCTCGCTCCTCTGGCCGCGGTTGCCGGCCACGCTGTGCGGGCCGCCATGCTGCGCCCCCCCTCACTCTGCCTCCTCCAGCCGCGCCCGCCGCCCCCCCATTGGCTGCCGGCTGCCCTGCTGCGCCCCCCCTCGCTCCTCCGGTCGTGCCACCCCCTCCCCATGGCTCCTCCGGCTGTGCTGTCCCCCCTTGCTTGCAGGAGTTCAGCGCCGGCCGGCAGACGCGCCACTTTTTAAAACGTGCTGAGGGGAAGCGGCTGCTTCCCCTGCACCCCACTAGCTATGCTACTGATTCCCACCACCCCCTCTTCTCACCCAACTGCCCTCTCCCACCTTCTTCCTATTCCCCCCCAAGGCCACCACCTCACCTTACATGTTCATCTTCTCCAGGCACCTAATTAGTAGAGCCACGCCTGCATGGCTCTACTAATTAGGTGGGTTGGCCCTTCATTCTTTTGTGTACGGCCACCCAGGCACACATCTTAGAGGGAACTATCCGCGGACCACCTGAATGGAGCTCGCGGACCACTGGTGATCTGCGGACCACAGTTTGAGAACCTCTGATATAGGGTAAAAGTACACAAAAGACCAGATTTCATGGTTTGTAGTGCATTTTTCATGTATGTGAATTTGGTAGAGCCCTTGTCATAACGCAGTAAAGTTGGGAAATAAATTGGTTATCAGAGAGCAGGGCACACAGTATTAGCAATTGTGAAAATGGGCTTAGAATGTTGATAAGACTATTGGAAGACCCTTGATTTTTTCCTATCACTCTTTATCTGTTGATTTACTTTCAGGTGTGTGGAAGTCTTTTACATTTACTTTCATGCGGGGAGATTTGAAGAGCCTTATGTCAGCATCACCAAGAAGAGGCAGATGCCTAAAGATGGACATTCAGAAGAAGTTGAGAAGGAAGTGGGCCAGGCTGAAGGCAAACTGTTTACACATAGATCTGCATTCAGCAGGGCATCTGTGATCCAGGCTTTCCTCGGCTCAGCGCCTCAGCTGACACTTCAGCTGTATATATGTGTCCTGCAGCAGGAGATCACAGCAGCTAGAAGTATGTATAGTTTGTGTCCAGTCTATATATTGGTGGAGTGAGAGTTGGAGGGTCAGAGGTTACTCTCTGCTGAGCTGCCTACCTTTGCCTCAGCTGGAGGAACAGGTTGGAAACAACTTCATTTGCTGGGCACATTCCAGTGGGTTTCTGCCAGCTGTTACTTTGTACTGCACCCAGGTTCTCCTCTACCCCATCAAATTTTAATTTAAAGCACTTATTGTGGCATCTTTTGAGTGCTGTATAAAAAGCAATCTTGTAGATCATGGCATGATAAGGAGACAGCTTATCAAGGAGACAGAGGAACTGACCTATAGTTAAGGAGAAAAAAATTGCCCTGTGTTCCCCATTAAACACTTGGCCTGGGTATATGGTAGAGCATATTTTCTCCATGCTGGAACAAAGAACTACTACTTTAAGAAATAAAATAAAATACATACAGAGAAACCTTAAAGGATTTCTTGGCTGTTGCCAAGGTAGACCTTGCTTCTGCTGTGGCACCAGAAGGACATGGGCCTGTGCTTCCCCAGCTGATGTTCTCTAAGGCCCAGTTATCAATCAGGTAAGAAGAGGAAGGATTTGGTCAGCTGAGTGAGCTTTAGGTGGCTGCCTCAGCAAAGGTGCTTCCCTGCCAGATTACTGAATGGCCCCTTTGGCTGAGAAGCCCAGGCAGGCTACGCACCTTTGTTGGTTTCGCAGCTGGGGAAGCCTCGAGAAGTGCCCCATGTAACAACTTATCTAAATATTGTACTTTAGCTGCAACTTGGGGAGAGGGCAGGTATGCACATGCAGGTTCTGGCTCACTAGTGAGGACAGTTATGATGGTGGCAGCTGTCATCTCACTCAGGGCCATCCCTAGCTATTTTGGTGCCCTTTGCAGCCTCCCCCCCCTACCCCCCCCGTGGGGGGGCTGTGTGGGGCCCCAGGCCTCTGTGGGGGGAACTGGTCCCAGGCCTCCGCGGAAGGGGGGGTCTGGCCCCAGGTCTCCGGGGTGGATGGAGGAGGGGGGCTGGCCTCTTCCTGCGGGAAGTGGAGTGACCCGGCCCCAGCCTGCTCCCCTCCCCTGGCTCCCAGGCTTGGGGGAGGCGGGAACCGCCCCCCAGCACTCACCGGTGGCGCAGCTGGGAGCCAGGGGAGCGGAGCAGGCTGGGGCCGGGTCGCTCTTACTGGTGAGTGCAGGCCCAACTGCTTCTGGAGTCCTCAGGGGAGTGGGGGCGGGGCTGGAGTGGAGTGGAGCAGGGGCGGGAGCCCTGGGGAAGAGCCGGAGCAGGAGCTGGAGCAGCGCGCAGCTGCACAGGGCACCAGGAAATGTGGTGCCCCAAATTTCCTGGTGCCCTACACAGCTGCGTACTTTGCATATCGATAAGGACGGCCCTGATCTCACTGACTCATTAAGTATGAAACGTAGGTCTAAGTTGATGGTCAGAGAGGCAGATGATTGTGCCCCACTGACGATCAACTGACCCCTTGTCATTTGACAGCATGCAACCGATGTGGTCTGTCGACTGAGCTGAAGTATTCATTTCAGATGTAATGGGCACTTCCCCCATCACACTGTATGCTCCTTGTATCACCTCGCACAGAAAACAAGTAGGCGGAGCTGACTGTAGACCAGGACCTCCCATATAGCAGGTGTGCTGATGCTGCTGACAAAAGATGCTTAAAAAAAATTCAAGTCATAGTCTGTGCGTCCAGCAAAGCTGTGTTTCTACGACCCCATGCACACACCTTTGCATTCTTTAGCAATACAACAGTGCTGATTTAGAGGTGATGCACCCTAGTTAGAAGGCGCAGCTCAGCATGCAAAGAGATTGAAAGAGTGAAATTTAGACTGATCAGGTTATGGCCAGGTGTACGGCAAGCACACAGCATACAGGCTTTCCACACATATCTGTCAAAGTACCTCACTGCTGACTGGCAGCAGCCTTCTTTTCCATGTTAGGATATACACACTGAATTTTTTTGACATTATGACAGTGAAATGGTCACAAGAGACTGGACTAAGATCACTGAACAAATTACTTATTCAAAGCTAGTCAATTAGCCTTTGGCAATGGTACTTTTTAAACAGCCAAAATGAAGTTTCCTTTTCCAGGCCTCTCAAAAGCAATGGATTTACTTGTACAGGGAACTGGGTTTTCACAGTGCAATGTCCATTACTAGCATGAATGCATCTAAAGCAGCTGGCACTAAGGAATTAATCAGCATATAGTGATATTATGTCATCTTAAGCAGCTGCCAGCTTTATTTTTAAAGGCACCCAAAGTGCTTATTTAGGCACATAGCTGTGTAGATTATTGAAAGACAAAGCATTGCTCTGGCTACTTCATTGTGCCTGACAGCTAAGATGAATTAATCACGTGCAGGGTGAACCATGGCATGGGGATGAGAACAGAATGGAAGTATCCTGCATTGAGCAACGTAATTAGCACTTGGGCTCCAAGTGCTGATCTGCAGATGGCGTTTGCTTCAGAAAGGTCATCTGGGTTGTTTTTCCCCGCTAGTACTGTTGGCTGCTAGTCGCTGTCACCAAGAAGAAAGGCTCTGTCTCGGGTCATTAGGATTGATAGAGAATAACAAATACAATGGCAATTGGTACGTTCACCAAAACCAAACAGTCAAGAAACTTCACAGAGTTCTAAATCACAGATTCATAAGCAAATTCCTCCACTCAGGCAAAGACAGCAGCTACCATGCATGCCACATCCTCCCCCTCCACGCCTGGCTTGGAGCAGCCTAGAGCAGATAAGTATCACTATATAATACTGAATGAAAGGGACCAACTGATTACTTGGAAAGCATTGCACCTGCGTCTTCACAGACAGTGATCCTTCCTTCAGACATTTGGGTCTTATTTCTTTGTAACTTTCAAATCAGAACTTAAACCCGTTTTAAACAGGAGGCTGAAAGTTGGCCAGAGTGCATTTGTTTAGTTTGTGAATTAATGCATGTTGCCATGGATGCCTCTTCTCATAAGCGGTAGTACTGAGGAGGACCTAAATCAAGGACAAGAAGGACTTTCTTATACCGAGAGTTAAATGTGGTGCTATTTATCTGCTCACAGCTTATTTGTGTTGAAATTGTTTGGATGAATGTAGTACTTGTGAAAGGTACCACAGACACTTGGGCAATGGTGTGAATGTGGGGGTACCATGGTCTAGGAGTTAGAACAGGGGGTTAGGAATCAGGAGGCTTCAGTTCTGTGCTTCACTGTGCTGCTGATTTGCAGTGTGTCCTTGGGCAAATCATGGAATGTCTCTCATCTCAGTTGCTTCCTCACTTGTACAATATTTACCCACATTTATAAAGTGCTTTGAGAACTCAAATAAAGCTTCATGAATTAGTCACAGAAAGGCTCATGGCACAGGCTGTAGCGCATCAAGGTTCTCCACACCACATCACTCCACTAATTCTCCATGCCCCAGTCCTTTGTCTCCTTGCTTAGACTGTCATCAACAGAGTTAAAATAACCTTCAATTACTGTATATTTTGACAGGATCATCTCTTAACTCCCTTACCCTAGGAAATGGATGGATTTCCTACTGTTATAGCAGCTTCTTTTGAAAAAGATTTTGTTAAAGAAGGTGGTAATTGTGACTATAACTCTTATGAAAAGAGGCAGTATCTGATTACATGGCCTTTGAAACACATTTGTTTCTGCAACATGACAAACCTAGTGAATATAAACTGGGATTTTTGGCAAGGACGGAGAAGCATTATGTGATTTCGAGGCATCGTTGCCAATGCCAGATATATTAAGATGCTGCGGCAGATTCTGCTATCCCAGCAAGCTGTCAACCACAGAACTCTTCCTTGTCAGTAGTTAGGACAACATTTTTAAGAGGTGTGGGATACTTTTCAGTATTATTAATAAGTGTTTTTAAAGAGGGAAATTATGGATTTAGACCATATTTTCACATCTGGGTCCCAAACCTTAGGTACCAAAATAAGTGGCCTTATTTTTAGAGTGGCCTGAGCACAGGTTTAGGTAATTAACTGTACAGACTGAAGATTGAAAAATCTGGATTTAGTGGCTAGGTTCTGCTAGGTGTCAGTATTATTAGCATACCATGGTATGACTCACATAGGGCAGCAGTCACCCTCATGTTACTAATAGGTGGGGAAGGACAGGCTTTGTCAGCCATAAGTCATTAAAAAAACAAAAACGTAGTAGTGCTAGAAGTAGAGTATCACTCAAACCACTGGTTCTTAAAAAGAATACTGCCCCAATCTTCCAAGGAGAGCAGAATCCTTTATCATACAGCACTGCTGTTGAGGGATTTAGGACAGTTTTAGGGGAAAATCTTTGACTCCATCATCCCCTCACTTCCTCACTGATCTTCATAGTGGGTGCTGAGCCAGGGACAGGTCCACTGCAGGCAATGTTATTCCTTTACATTTTCTTCCCTGGCTGCCCCACAGTATCATTCCCACTGGCTTGATTGTGGCATTTGGATTGATGACAGGTAGGCTGTTACAAGCATGGAACTTTGGGCATAGAGCAAGCTTGGGCTACAACCTGATGCTGTACATGATTGCTACCAATGGGAAAATACCCATTCAGAATAGGAAGTAGCTTCCAGGAGCTGTGGGGGCAAATGGGTTAAAGAGATTTTTTTTTAATCACTAAAGGGGGACCAGGTAGTGTTCTGAACGCTTGCCAGCTTGTCAAACAGGTGGCAAGCAGCTTTTCAGTACAATCTTTCTGAGCCAGGAAAAAGTTTTAGTGAGAGCATTCACTTTATTAACAACATTGCAAAAATAATTTTTTGCTTAATTAGCTCTTACAAGTTATTTGCTCTTGTGGTTGCAGAGCCAGTTCTGAACTTGAGAAAAGATTTCTAAGGCCTGGTCTACACTACGAGTTTAGGTCGACTTTAGCCGCGGTAAATCGACTTAAGCCTGGACACGTTTACACTACGAAGCCCTTTCTTTCGACTTAAAGGGCCCTTTAAACCGGTTTCCTAACACCACCTCGACAAGGGGATTAGCGATAAAATCGG